AGACAGCAGGAGCAAGGCAAACGAGCAGAACTCTTCTGAGTGGCTTCACCCAGACAGGTTTGAGAAGGTGGCCGTGCCCGTGTACTGTGCTGACAGCGTGTCCCACCCCTTCCCAGACAATGCCTGTGGGAGGAAGCCGACCCACGGTGACTTTCCCCCCCCTGCCCAGCCGCAGTCTCATCACACAAGGACACTGGGTCCCAAGGTGGGGCTGGTGCCCTGCACTCCTCAGAACSTGTCGGAAAGGCCGGCACTGCTGCCCGGCCCTCCCGGCGAGCACGCCGGGCACCCGCTCCGAAGGGTGGATGCCCTCTGGGTGCCTGAAGCYGTGTACCAGAACATTCCTCCCCCTTTACCTCCAAAAAAATATGCTTTGAGCACTTTGTCAGGATCAGAGAATAASTCGGCAGCAGATGGAAAATCAACGGAAGCGTTGCAAAATAATCCCTTAAGGCAAACAGGTGCACCTTCAAAATGTGCATCAGAAGCAAGTGCAGTCCCAGCTGAACAAAGGCTTAAAGAGCCCTTTCCAGGGAACGAAGTGTTTGTTCATAAACCGGATTCTCCGCCTCGCTTATCAGTTAATGAGTTCTGGACCGTGTCTGAGAACATGTTAAAGAAAGGATCTCGTCACACGGGCCCGGGCCCTGGCTACGCAGATGGGAATGACAGCATGTCCCTAACCACTTAYTTCTCGGTAGACAGCTGCATGACTGACACCTACAGGCTGAAGTATCACCAGAGGCCCAAACTGTATTTTACAGAGAGTGGAAGCTTCCACAAGGAGAAGCAACCTCCAGCAGCCGGAGCAGATGTGAATGCCCCATACCATGCCACTCTTGAGCCCAGGCATCCCRCACCTGAACAGAGGTACAAGGCAAATGCAGAAGGAATACACTGCAGTCGATAGGTTCTTTAAGAAGCCCACACCAGGATCTAACTCTTGCATTTCATGGTCTGTAAAGGGGCACAACCTGGAATCTCTGAGTGTGTGATAACCAGGTACTCAGCTGACTGTACTTTGCTTGGGAGTTCTGACTGTTCAAATGTATATGCAAATAGAGGTGAACAGAAGAGAAGAGGTGCTAAACTTGTGKTTCTTTGATTTGTTACTCTAGTTGCCTTAATGCTTACCTCTGTTACTCAGCTTGTCTTGTACCATTTGTATTCGATGTGATCCCTTGGGGTGTGCACACCTTGCAGCAGCAGGRTCGGCTGGATGTTACTAATTCTGGAAGAAGATCTAGTTAGCTGCAGTTTAAGAAGTGCTCCTTCAGACTGGGGTCACAATGTTCTCAGATTAACAAAAGGGATAATAAACATGCTACCACAACTAATGCAGTACATGTAGTCACAGCAGAGCAGTATTTGTCCTCAGAGGTAGCAGGAGGTGACATGGTTTTTTCAACTGATGTCTCTCAGAGTCTGTGCTTTCACAAACCTTCAAGTGTCTTTAATACAAGTTTACCCAGAGGATTTATTTTTTATTTGAAAAGCCTTAATAATAATAATTCTTCAAAAACCGTTCTGGTTTGMAAGTGTTAAATGAGACTTTCAAAGGGAATTGAAGTAAGCTGCAGTAATACTGTCCTATTAATAWCCCTGCTCTGTCAGGGTATGTTTTTAAACACATTTATCGGATTTGTTCACCYTTTAAGCTATAKACTTTAACTTATTAAATTTAACTTYATATGTTACAAACCAGTATAACAGGATAGGATGTTAATTTTAAATAGAGTTATCATACAACYATGAAAGATTAATTTTGGAACATTTTAGAAGTAATTACTGCTTATGTTCAGTTCTGACTTACTCTACAATTGCGTGCAAAGTCAATGCTGCTATTTATTAAACTCCCCTTTTCAGCTTGACATTTTGGTTCATGGGGATCACACATTTGATTTTTCTATTTTTTTTTATTAACATGTTTTCCCATTTGGAACAGTCCTACAGATGGACACCGTCTGCACTAGCAGATCAGGCTGAATGTGCAACCATTTAGACTGGTGGCTAAGGAAGCATGGGCAAGAGGTTCCTCTTTCTCTGCTCTGTCACTCTGCCTCCAGTTTTGGCAGCTCTGGAATTTACCTTGTCCTTTGTAAACCTCACTTATCTCAGTAACAAGGAGGAAGATTKATTTGGCTTTTATTTCACTAGTAAAATCAGTGCACAGAACTGTCTAATGAGTGCTGAGGGAACTGTCAGCAAAGCGTGACACAACCCAAAAAGGTTAAATGTTCCCATTATTCACATTAGAGTGTTAACTTGGGGTGCTGCTGATTACACCTAAACATTAATGCCTTTTATTTATGGAAATAATGCAAGAAGGTTAAATATGCATAATAAAGTCTTACTTGCACTGTTAGTCAGAAAGGCTTTTTTAAAATGTTTATAATCTTATGTACATGAATTTTAGTGCTTCAACCAAATGTTGAAAATTATTTAGCACAATTATCCAAGGTGAACATATAAACAGTAGTTTTTGTTATTCCGTGGCAAGGTCAGTGTTTTTTTTCTTTTAAATTACATGTATCTTACAGTAGAACTGGAACATTATATATATATATATGCAACAAACCAGGTATCTCAGATTAACCTTCTTGATCAAAATTCCTTGTAGCACTTGGAAAAAAATGAATTCTAGATTTTATAGTGAAAATACTATGCATGTTTATATATGGCTGCTAGTAAAGAGCAACTTAAACAATGATCCTTTTGTAAGATTTCAGTTGAATACAGAAGAACACTAAAAATGTAAGAACTTGGGTGATTCCTATTGTAATATTTTTAAGAGARATTTCAGAACCTGTAAATTAAACTTTTCTAGCTCATCTAGCCATGTTACATAATATATATAGCCAGTTAAGTACAACTTTCCTCTAATACCTGTGTAAAAACAAAGATTATTGGAATTTGTAAATAATGTATAATTTGTAAAATGTTTTGCAAAAAAAAAAAAAAACTTGTATTTGAAATGACAGTATTTTTATGTATGAATAGCACAGCAACAACTGTGAATGATGTTAGAACACTTATTTTTGAACATGCATAGCAATGTTGATACTTCTGTACCATGAGCAATATGAATGCCTCTTACTGATACCAATGAACTCCTGCTCCCAGTAAGCACAACTGGTAAACTCCTCTCTAAAGTAGCTGCAGTAACTTAGGTGTACTTCAGTCTCCTCGCTTAGCTTGAAACAATCTTACCAGACAACTTTCTCTGTGACCCATGTTTACCAGGTATTTAATGATTAAATAGACAGCTAATCAAGGCACCTTCGTTTTTAYATTTGACTCTGCACTCCATGTATGTATGTATGTAATATTTGCTAACTAATATGTGATAACTCGTTTTAACTTACCTAGGGTGCCTATTTATTTTTTTATAAATGTCCCCCCTCCAGCTATAGATTTGTATAAGAGCCTAGACAATTTTTGTAACAGTAAAGATATTAACAAGTCTTGTAATTAATATATTTTTCAGTCTTTAGAATTATTTTCTGGCGAAGTTCTGCTTGTTCAAAATATCAAGATAAAAATTTAAAACCTTTGTTGTCTGTTCTTTTCTTGTTGCACATTTAAAAAAATAAGAAAAAAAAAGTTGGCTTTCCAGAACTACATTTTTAAAGTGACAGATAATGCTGCTACTGAGGGTTCCAAGCTTTTGTGGATATGGTGTTTTGGTTACCTTTTTTGAGAAGTACAGTTCTTCTTCTGAATTATTTGTTTATAAAGYTGTTAAACAGATTAAACTTTTTAGATATCTATGCAATGCATAAAGCAATTTGTATACCATAATCCCACAGCCTTGGTGGCAAGTTATTGACAGATACATGAGCAACCTTACTGTCTTTACTAGGGAWAATCAAAATTTGCCTGGATATGTGTACTTAGGAGCTCCATGGGTCTAGGGAATAGCTTGAGCCCAGTGCACCACAAACCTGCACTTGGTTAGCTCTTCAGTTTTCTGAGGTAAGCAAWAATGTCAGATCTGGCTGAAGGAGAAAACGGAAGACACCTTGAAATTCAACTTTCTAAACCTTAACAGCCTTTAAATCTCACTTGTCTTCCTTATCAGAAGAGAAATGGAGCAACAATAGTCAGTCACCAGACAGGTGGTGCCCTGGGGATTTCACTTGTGATTTCATGCCAGAGGTGGGGGGAAAAAAAAAGTGAGAAATGAGCACATGTCCACTTACACATCCCCAATCCTATTTAACCTGATCCTGCCTCATTTTCATTTAATGTGTGGGAAAACACTAAATCACTTTGCCCTTCCAAGTCTCTGCAATCTCATTTTTTTGTTAGATGTATTTCTGGGAAAAAAACTCTACTAAAGATGGTTTGAACTTCTCCRAATTAGACATCTGTATTCCTAAGGGAAAAACACCAAAGAAAATGAACCCACTTCATCCATTATTGGAAGACTATCTTCCCCCAACCCTGACCTGGCAAAAAGCTCATTCCATGTATTCAGCTTCTATTTATTTCCCTGAAGATTGCAAGAAATTCCTTGCTTTAACACAGGACTAGAATGCTCCCTACATTCTCCTGTAACGATGTTGAAATTGATGTTGAAACCTTTTAATTACCTATTACTGTCTAATTATAGCCTTCCATGGAAGATGAGGAGGAGGGTTCTGTCTGTGTCATCTGCCAGTCACTCAAGGCTGCTCTTGTAAGCTCCTCCTTCAGTTTCTAGCAAGGAAGTAAGGACCTGATTTATCTTAATCAGTAAGTGAGGACAGGACACTGCTGCTGGGTTAAACACTGGTATATTTATATATGAATATATTTATATGTATAAATACCGATGCTGAAGAAGTAACAGCTGAAGGTAAAGAAAAAAGAGAGAAAGGTATAATAGAAAACTAACCAGCATCAACCCATCAGGATTAACTTCAGAAATAAAACAGCTGGCAAAGCTTCATCTGTTGAGGGAAGAGATGATGTTATAACTTCAGTCTACGCAAGAGCTGGGTGTTTATTCTCAGCCACTCTGTAGGGTGTCCTTTAACTGGATTTTATTCAAACAATGCATACTTCCACTTCTGCACAACAATCCTTTAGGCATTTATCACAAAAGCACAGTCAGCCTGTCTTATGTGACTTKTAAGGCACAATTTAGGACACACAAACAGGATCCAGGTAAAASCTGCACAGTAACTCTTGTGACACACAGATATCTGCTAGGATATAGTGTACAAACGTGTGCCTTCTGCATCCAGATGCGAGTGCAGTCGTGTTCCCAGTTGCTTTTGCCGCACGAATAGTCCTCCTCCTCCACCGCCTGTGTTCATAAGGTGCATCCCGTGGTGAGAGCGGCCCTACAGGGAACACAAAAGGTCTGGTTATTCCGTAATGCTACACAGCCCTTCGGAAGACACTGACATGTAAGGAGCATCAATCGCATCTCCAAAACAAGGACCGGATAATAATATTCGCAAGCAAGAAAAATAAGGCATGGGGTTGGTTGGAATTATTTTCCCATTTCCTTACAAACGTTTCTGATTCCGAGGCCTTCTGAGGCGTGGCTGTGGGAATACCAAGGCTGCTCCCAGAGAYCCTCTCCTGGAGCGGAGCCTTCCCTTCCCGGGGAACAGCCCGTCGGAGCTTCCCGACCGACCGACCGACAGACTGACCGAATGCCGCCTCTCACCTGGGCCGCGCCTTCAGGGCAGCAGGTAGATAAGCAAGAAAATCGCCACGTCGAAGAGGATGAAGAGCCACAGGTCTAGCCAGTAGGACTGTCCCGACATTGACAAGGATCGCGACTGCACCCGGCCACCATCCTCCTGCTGCCGCTCCTGCCCCCGCTGCTGCCGCCGCCGCGCCGCTGCCTCCATCTCCTCCCGGGCGAGTCGCACGGCGGCCCCAGCACGCAGGCGCCAGAGGCTGTTCCGGGTGCGGGGCCAACGAGAACGGAGCGCACGTACCGCGGCCACACCCCCGGGATAGCGCGGCGGCACCGCCCCTCCCGCCTCAGGCACCGCCCCTCCAG